TAATGTCTGGACAAAGTACCGCAGCTATAACAGCGTCGTTTGAATTTTCCAAATCATAATATTTACGAAATATCTTTTGCAATGATTCTTCCAATGAAGCAACTATGTTATCAAAATTTTTTAATATACTGATGGATTTAGCGACCTTTCTACTTATAATTTAGTATTTTGCCGGCTCGAGGTCAATTTTAAAAAAATTTTAAAAATTTTTTTATGAAAACACAAGTTTTTTTGGTGTTTCTTTCCGATATATTTCGATTACGCTTCGGTAACCGTCCTCAGGGCAAATTAATTTACACGTCCGCACTGTTTGACGTGGAGTTTGGTACACCAGTACACAAGTTTTTTTGGTGTTTCTTACCGATATTGTTCGATTACGCTTCGGTAACCGTCCTCAGGGCAAATTAATTTACACGTCCGCACACCGAAGCGTAATCGAAATATATCGGAAAGAAACACCAAAAAACTTGTGTTTTCATTCAAATTTTTAAATAATGTTTCTAAATTGACCTCGAGCCGGCAAAATACTACATTTTTTAATATGCTATTTGCTCGAATCTTCCGATATTTTGTTCTTAGCGTCGCCAATGTAGGAAGATGATAGCCATAGACCATTCTATTGTCTTGCTGCAAAAAAATCAATCGCTTTTGATATTGGATCTAACAATTTCAAATACTCGTCCAAATATTTAAAATCATTTTCGTGAAACTGTTCTACTTCAAGTTCGTCACAAAGCTCGTTTATATTTTCCTTATGTGACATCAAACATTGAATGGAGTCGTACAATGAGTTCCACCTTGTCACAACCGGATATTTAAGCTGTGAACCCAATTTATTTATAATCTTTTCAGATGATTTCGGTCTATTAACCTTACACCACAGATCGGAGCACTTCTTAATCACCTATATATGAACATATCGCACCCTAAATAAAAAAAACCGGCACAACTCAAAATTTGTCAAAATTTATTTTTTTCCATAAAACAGTTCACATGCCGTATACCCAACGTCCGCGAAAATTTCTTCTTCATCACTATCTTCTTTAACTGGAAAAATACTACTAAAATTTTTAGTTTTGCTTGCGTCGATTGCGCAGCGTCAACAGTTTTTTGCCTCTCCTGAACATTTAGGATTTTTTGAGTTGTGCCGGGTTTTGATTTAGTGTGCGATATATGAAATCAAAATAAATATATGTGGTTAATTTCCCAATTTTGCCCAACACTGATTGCAAAACATTACAGAAATCCTACTTGCTTTTTTATGCTTTTCGTAGATACTTGAATCAATTTTTATTAGCTCAACTAAATCCGTCGTGGCTACAAAGTTCAATGTGTGAGTTGCACACCTTATATGCTTTGGCAATGAGCTGTCAAAGAAATTGTTGGAAAATTCAACTGCATTCAATTCTTCCATATTTTCTACTTCCTCAACTTCATCCTCCTTATGACATATTAGTGAGGGAGTACTCAATCCAAACTCTTTAACCGCCTTTACAAAATTGGAACCATTATCAGTTAGAGTGGCAGACACATTGTTACTGTTAAGACCAAACTCTGCATGTATTTTAAGTATCATATCATGAATACGATCGAAAGAATGAGCACCATAAAATCGTTGACATGCTAAAGCAAGTGATTTCCTT